CCGGCGCCACAGATGATGCAAATTGGCGAATACCGAACCGGCCTTGTATATCCGAGCTGAGACTTCGTCACCAATCAGCCCTTCCGGACTGATGCAACTCCCAAAGTAGTTGAAGTGGTTGACACATTCCACCACTTCACTCACTATCTGTCCTTAAACTGGGAGTGTTTGTTGACAAGTCCTGGAGTATCATCTTATAGTTCACAGGTGCGAACCGCATTTCAACCAAACATATCCAGATTTCTGCTCGGTTTGTTCAGAGGACCCTACTTTTTGTAAGCGTCTTCACCCAGCCTATCAGGACGACATTGTCTGGATATTCCAAATTATGCTGATGGCCTCTAGGGAGTAGATCATAGTGACCACAGCACCTTTTTAAAGATACAGTGTATACAAAGCCGTATTGTTCACCTTTGAATCGTACCCACTGGACGTACATTCAGATTTTGGAGATCCAGTGAGACATGTCCCACGCACATCTATCCGCAGGGGGGTAAATACGATCAAATGATCCAATTACCCGGAGAATTTGGATGTGTTGAAACCTGACAGTTGAAGGGGGTTAGTCTTGGGATTACGCTGACCATTTTTAAGAGGTAGTTAACAGAGTGCTCTGATAAGAGTTTTGATTTTCATATGAAGGCGTTGCTATAATGCTTCCTGCTCGGTTAGGAGACTGCTCCCTCGAAGTCTTAATAATGATATCCAAGCAGACGAGGTTCGGTCTGGAACTAGGAGCTGAGCTGAAAGTTGGAGTAAAACTCTCTTACTACCCCCCTTATGCAGGTTGTAGTGGGTAGAGTCGATTCCAGCCCATGATTAACTGGTTAGTAGTTGATTACTTAGACCATTGAACCATATCTTCATAATCTAATACCATTTTCTTCGGGATGTAAAAATTTGTTTATTCGCTGTGAAATCAAATTATTTTTAATGAGGCCTGAAGATGAATTTTTTGAAGAAAAGTTATTTCCTGAGTTATTAAAAAATGATTTGGTTCTATATATTCATAATTATTCAACCAATCAGTGAAAATCACTTCACCTGGAATTACTGAGTAATCGTTCAAGTTGTCATAGAAACTTGTTGAATTGATGCACTTATTCTGGTCACCCATAGCTTTCTTTGAATCCAATTCTACCAAAGTTAATATAGCACATCAGGATAAACAGTGACTAAGCATGCATAACACATCACAACCTCTTGAGGTGATGAAGATGTACTATTTCATGAACTAACTCTGTGCTTCATATCTTCACTGCTTATATGGGGTGGTTTGAAGAAACAAGGTGATTTTTGTCAATTATGTAGGAGTTACTTGCTCTCCCACTTCGAATAACTGTTTCACAGTCAAGTAGTTGAAAGAAACGAAGTGTTGCACAGTGCACTCGTCTCTTCACAAGTATTTAGTTATCTTATCGATATCGCTAGGAATACTTGAATTTTTGTGTATCCATGCTGAAATTTCATTAGTTTTTTTGATGAACCGAAAAACGGAAAAAATGACTCTAATTTAGAAGTAGTATTCATCACGGACTGACATCAGTTGGGGGAACCATTGAAAATTTGGGGGCACTGGACAGCTGTTTTGTCCTAGTGTGGGACTCAGCAGTACGCACCCACGATCCGGCTACAGATCGAACTCAGGACATTCAGGTTCCACGGCGAACGCGTTAACCATTCAGCCACTGGGTTGGTTTCCAGTGGTTCACAATTTCCAACTTCTGTCAATTCACGACACAGTGCAACTGTCACCCAACGTCTTCAGTTAGCATCCACTTCACTTCCGACTGGTTGACCCCACAGGTCACGGCTTCTGATTAGAGCTTCCTGATATCCATCTGGAATACTACTTCTAAATTAAAAAAAATCCCCATTCATCTCAAAAGTACATTACTCTAAAGTGCTCATTAGTGACTTGCTTCCAGATGGATATCACGAAGCTCTAATCAGAAGCCATGACTTGTAGGGTCAACCAGTCGGAAGTGAAGTGGATACTAACTGAAGACGTTGGGTGATAGTCGCACTATATCGTGAATTGACAGAAGTTGGAAATTGTGAACCACTGAAAACCAACCCAGTGACTGAATGGTTAACACGTTCGCCGTGGAACCTGAAGGTCCTGAGTTCGATCTGTAGCCACGTTGTGGGTGCGTACTGCTGAGGAGTCCCATACTAGGATGAAACAGCTGTTCAATGCTCCCAGATTTTTAATAGTTCCCCAACTGATGTCAATCCATGATGAATACTACTTCTAAATTAAAAAATCCTCATTCATCTCAAAAAGATTATAATTTAGCCGAAACATTGTAAGTATTTTTAAAGGTAATTTCCTCGGTTGTATTGGCTTCTTGGTGCTGGATAGTTTAATCCATTACTTTGAAGCAATATGTTCACATATGTACTAGTCATATCTTTTATTTGGGAGATAATAAATCAAACTGGTGTCAAAATAAAACGTAATTGTGGAGAAAATCAAAAGTCAGTAGAAATGAAATTTAGTTATAGATGCTCAGCTTGTGAACGAATTCTTGTCGAACAAATAAAAACGTTTCAGGTTGGTATTCATGTTGGATTGACTTCAGTTGGAGAAACATTGGAAACCTGGGTGAGCTGAACATCCGTTTTGTTCTAGTGTGCTCACTCCTCCTGAGGTCGAACTCAGGACCTTCAGGTTCCGTGGGCAACACGTTCTCATTGAGCCACTTGGTTGACATCCAGTGACGCATATTTCCTGCTTCGATTAGTTCACGATACAGCACGACCTCCATCCACTGCCGTCGTTAAGTATCTGTTCTCATATCCGAATTGGTTGGCTCCACCGGTCATGACTTCTCATTTGAACTTTGGGAATCACTTCTCGAAGCGAGTCACCAATGAACACTAGAATTATTCAGTTTCGAGGCTTTTGGGGAGTTATTTATTTATTTTGAGTTAGTATTAGATTCCGACCTGTTAGCTCAATAGTATCGTGCTGGCCACGGGACTTGAAGGTCATGAATGCGCACTGCTGATGAATCCCAAAGTTGGACAAAACAACTGTCCAGTTCTCCCAGGTTTCCAATGATTCTCCAACTGAAGTCGGTCCATGATGAATGCCAACCTGAAATCAATAAATAAATTGCCACAAATCTGCAAATGGAAAGAGTTTTCACTTCTTCAAAACAGTCGATACGTTCATAAGATTTTAAAAAATACCGTTTACCGCTTATTTTGTAAATAGATCTAAAATATGGAGTTAAATCAACAAGTTGTCAAAGGAGGCAGCAAAGATGCGACTTTATTCAGGTGAGCGTAGAGAAGATAGAGGAGATGAAGATGCCCAACCAACAACAACAACACGAAGCACCAATCACTATGAACGGGAGAAATCTAAAGGAAGTTGTCTCTTTCACCTACCTACCTACCTAGGCAGGCTAGCATCATTTCAACTGCAGGTGTCACAGGCACAGATGAGGATAAAAAACCAGGACCGGAAGGACAGCAAGACAGGCCTCCCTTCATTAATCTGAAACCAATCAGTGTAGTGATCTACTACATTCAGCGTAAAGCGTGAACAAGATGCGGATTTTCAACACTAAGTCAGTTTTGTCAGTGCTTCTATGTGATGGTTGAGAGACTTGTCGCGTTACGAAAAGTATTACCAAAAAACTACAGACTTACATCACATCAACAGCTACTGCATACGCTCAATCGATACTGACACTGAAGATCAGATGCATGGCCAGAATAATAAGAATAAGCAAGGAGGAATTCACTCTAGCTGACTGGCCTGGCAACGAACCAACCAACAACCTATCGCCCAACAAATATGCAGGGGAAGAAAGTGGAGATGGATTGCATTGGGTATACACTGAGAAGACCGATTGGTGACATCACGCGCCAAGTCAGGCCCTCAAGTGGAATCAAATTGGGAAACGACGAGTTGGACGTTTGAGGTGAGGGTGACATGGATGAGATGATGTGAAGAAGAAATGAAAGCTTGTGAGCAGTCGTGAAGCCAGGTTGAAAAGACTGGAGAGAAGAGAGTGAAATGGCGATGTGCTACTGGAGCCCTGTGTTCCACTAGGAACCCAAAAGACAAATAATAATAATAATGATCTGATCCAATATATTTTGTTGTTAACACAGAGATCGATTGCAGATTACCAACATTATTTGTATATGCTGATTTACCGTCATATTCTCATAAACTGTTGCATTTTCATAGTTTGAGGAGTCTTTTCTCGATATGGTCATGCCTAATTTTGAAATACTCAGTGGACTGCCTCAAATCTTTATTTATTTTAATGGTTTACCAAATTTTACTCGTCAATTAAGATGTTTTATGTTTACATTCATTTCCTTAGGTACGATATTCACGACTATATAAATATTCTACTACTTTCGGTACCATGACCTGTTGTTTAAGCGAATTAACTAGCTCAGTAGTAATGTAGTATTAAGTGACACTGAAGTATGAGTTTTTGTGTGGGAATATCAATTCAATTTAGGTCACATATCTTATATACTGATGAATTCTACAAAGCTTAAGATTTGACATATTTAAGAGTACTCATAAAGTAGCTTCAGATGAGGATGGTCAACTTGAGCTGCGATTTAAGTTAACAGACGTTTCAATACCATGCCAGACATCATCATCAGTGCAAACCTCACGATGTAACTTTCTATCAGTCATTACATCGAAGAGTGATAATTATTTGTCAGGCCTCACTTTTGTATACCTGATCTAGTTACTTTTGTATGACAGTTGTTATTTTCTGTTTGTTATACAAAACAATGACAGTTAATGTATACTACTACCATTTTTAACTCATTTCAACTGATTGTCAGTAAGTTATCTATAATGTGGCAAATGTGTTTCGGTTCTAATGTGGTCAGTAAATGGTTCAGAGGTATATGTTATGCTCTTAGCTTATTTTATTTGCAATATTATAACCTATGTGACATATCTTCATTGTCCTCTCTCCATTCCTTGTCGTGTTTATGCCAACCTATAGGTGAGATTAGTTCAAAAACAAGACAATGGCTACATCTATGCTATGAAGATTTTACACAAAGCAGATATGCTACAGAAAGATCAAGTAAGCATTGTTTACCCCTTTAACAATTATTATTATTATTATTATTATTATTATTATTATTATTATTTCAGTTCTTTTATTTCTTAAGTGGTACCACTCTGATCTCATATTCATCTCATTCTTTTCAGAAACTATTATTAAATGTAAAAATTATAGAGTTAGTTATCTGTTACTCTGTTAGCCATTTTGTTGTGTGATGATTTAGTCTTGTTTTATACATTGACTTCCGGAACACACCAACATATGAGATATCAAAGTATTTAGCATCAGTATTACGTCCTGTTAGAGACCGTTCCAACTCTAGACTAGTAAATTCTTACGAGTTGAAACAAAAACTTAATGACCTGCACATAGAAGAGGATGAAAAAATGGTTAGTTTTGACGTAACAAGTCTTTATACTAAAATACCAATCAATATGGCACTGGAGGCAGTCAGAAATCAACTAGATACTGACTCACAACTTACTCAAAGAACCAAGGCATCGGTTGGTGAAATCATGTTAGGAGTGCAGTTATGCTTAACCTCGACAGTCTTCAAGTTTCAGGGAAAGATTATAGACAAACAGAAGGAGTAGCAATGGGATCACCAATATCCCCTATAGTAGCAGATATATTTATGGATAGTTGGGAAGATATGGCTTTACGAACATATAATCCGACACCTAAGATATGGTGGCGATATGTAGATGACACATTTACAGTGTTGAAATCGGAACATATCGACAGTTTCTTGACACACATAAACTCAGTAGTTAACGCAATCCAATTCACTACGAAGTAGAAAATGAACAAGGAGAATTACCTATGTTGGATTGCAGAATAAAACGAAGGATAGATGGTGGTTTAGATACTACCGTCTACAGAAAACCAACACATTCTAACAGATATCTAGACTTCAAGTCATCTCATCCAGTGTCAGTTAAAGCGGGTTTAGTCAAATGTCTAAATAACAGAGCTGAGAAACTCACTAGTCATTGTAAGGACTTAAATAAGGAATTGAAACACATAAAAGAAGCGTTAATAATTAATAATTATCCCCATCATTTTATTAAGAAATTCACACGGACACATAAGAAGCAAAATAATAACACTAATACAAATACAAATAATAGTGACAACATAAGTAGAAAGGAAATCAACACCTCTATTGTGATACCATACAAGGAAGGAACATCAGAAACCATACGTAGGATTCTCAACAAGGTTGGAATTAGGGTGGCATTTAAACCAACAAACTCACTTAGAGGTAAGCTTTGTCGGCTAAAAGATCCGATAGAACCAATTAAGCAAAATAATATAATCTACCAAATTCCATGTAATGACTGTGAAGTCAAATACATAGGTCAAACTAGCCGGTCGGGGTCAGTTAGATTAACAGAACATAGGAATTTAGCTAAACATAGAACGGCAGACCCCAATAAGATCAATAACCTAGAAAAACACTCAGCCATTGCATTACATTCATTAACACACAACCACACAATAGGATGGGACAAAACCACTGTACTTAAGTCTAATATAGCTAGGTGGAGAGAGAGATTAATTACTGAATCTTTGTTCATCGAATCCACACCCAACACATGTAATAGGAATGACGCAACACCTATACCAGAGATATGGAAAACTTTACTACCAATCAAAAAACAAAAAACAAAGAGAGATCAGGTGACAGGACTATAAAATCAGATGTCGAAAGAAGTGTGATTACATTGATATGATTATGAGCAATAATTTATGCTCGAAACGTAATCAAGTAAATAATACTGTATCACTGTGCGCTTTATATCAAATAAACAAATCTAATATGGAACTACATTCTACCACAGTGCCCAAGTTTTTCACTTATATGAAACTGAAACAGATTTAAGGTTTTTTTCTATTCAAACAAATGACGGCTAAAAATGTTGTAGTCACTCTCAAGTTTTGTTGTTGTAATTATACGATGCCTTCCCCCTTAATATCTGAATGATTTTTTATATTTTAATTATGATCACCAATAATATTGTCTTTGACATAATCGTCAATAATTATTTAGTACTACCAATTGTTTCATGTTAACTGACTAAAAGTCATTCAACAGTCGGTTGAATCTATAAACTAAACTTCAGTGATTACATCACTTTAAATAATCTTGCTGTTCACTGTGACTCTTACGCCCTAGTGGCCTAGTAAATAGTGATTTGGCGTTTGAAGTGATGGGTACTAGGTTCAAATCTCAGTTGGAACAACATCTGGGTGACGAGTTCCAAATAAAACGAAATGGGCGTCCTGGATTCCACTGCTAGTCACCAAGATGAGTATAACATCATGAATATCCGACAGTATTCAGGCATCTGCATAGAATCCCATAGACCAACAGAAACTGAGCGATTTGACCGTGTATAGTAAAGAGACATTACAAGGATCAAAACAATTTCTCACCACCAATTCGCTTCTGTTTCCCGTACTCTGTACAAGTTATTCGTCATTTTTCCTCAGTGTTTTTCAGGAATTTATCTCCTTGAGGATAACTTGCCAAGGAGCTGAGGGGCGAAGTATCCAGTAATTCCAACACGAGGTTTCAAAATTACTAAGTAACGGTTCGTATCGCCAACTGAAGCGCGGTATTCTAGCGAAAGTATTTCGTGTATATATGCTCTGTTATGAAGTGAGAAAGCTGGAAATGCTCATATTGAATTATCAAATTCTACGGAACATTTCCTATGAAGCTCTCCTACATATATGCCTGAAGTTATAGGGCTTCAAAGGAACAGTCCTAGGCTCTGCTTCCAAAAGACATTTCTGTGAATTTTATTCATGCATTGACTACGGAAGGCCTAGGAAATGACAGTAAAATCCCATTCCTTCACTTTTTCATTTTAACTCTTCTAACCTCTTTCATATCTCGATTATGTTCATGTTCTTTTTGTAAAATTACAAATCTTTATTGTTCTTTTCTAAGCATTGACCTGTTTTGATTGACAGAACACATGTTTGCATTAACATGCTGTTCTGAATATTCTTATGATTATGTGTATTGCCAACATTTTTGTTATTTTCAGGTGAATAGGGATTTTAGTTTTCAGGTAAAATTCATCATGGACTGACATCAATCGGGGAACCATTGAAAGCCTGGGAGCACTGGACAACTGTTTCGTCCTAGTAAGGGACTCCTCAGAAGTACACACGCACAACCCCATCCACCAGGGATCGAACTCAAGACCTTCAGGTTTGTAACGGCAAATGCATCAATCACTGGGTTGGAGTTCCATGATGAATACTACTTCAAAATTAAAATCGTTATTACCTCAAAATCCATTACTGTATTGTGCTCATTAGTGATATGCTTCGAGATAGATATCACCAAGTTCTAATGAGAAGCCATGACCTGTGGGGTCAACCAGTGAGAAGGAAAGCGGATGTCAACTGAAGATCTTGGATGATAGACACATTATATCGCGAAGTGATAGAAGTAGGAAATTATGGACCATTTAATTTCGACCCACTGATTGAATGGTTAACGTGTTCGTCGTGAAACCCGAAGGTCCCGAGTTCGATCCCTGTTGGTAGGATCGTAGGTGTGTACTACTGACGAGTCCAATACTGGGCGTAAAACCTAAGGAAATTTAATTGAGGAGAATGCTATAAAGTGCATTGATATAAGTGAGGATAATATTTCATGAATCATTAAATCGACTAGAAAAGCCTTTAGGAGACTGAAAGTTAAATACACAAGATTAGAGGCGAATGAGTGAATGAATATGTTGTGATTTCATTTAAAAGTAGCTGAATGAATATTAGGTGAATCAACAAAGGGGAATACTCATCAGACAAAATAAAATGGATTAGAATAGAATAAAATAAAAATAAGGAAAATCGAGATGTCAGAAACATATGATGAAAATAGTAAGACAGGTCCAGGGTATTAGTTCTGTTTTAGGATTGGATATCCCCAAAGTTTCTGTAATACAAAGTAGGTGTAGGCGCACACCTTTCGATAAGTTTTATTTGACCTTTTAAATAATGTCAAATGATGATTCAGAAACTGTATGTTTGTAGTCATCTGCATGTTGGAGGATTCAGATATTCATGATTCTACATTCCCCTTTGCTCAGTCATACTCGAACGTGACGAAAAGTGTTTCTCTACAAGAGCAGATGAACGTGTAGATACTCATCGAAATTTTTTGCAATCCAAGTAATATTTCATTAGCATTAAGATGAACCCAAAGACGACTGTAATTATTTGCATCGTTTGTTTTGTTAGAATTTACTGAAGATTTTGAAATAATGGATTTACAGGATACACAGAGGAGGTGAACATCCTATCTTCTAAGCTGTTTAACCTTCTTGTATAGGTTTGTCACTTTTTCCTTGCATGTATATATGCCAATGAAAAATGTGTATCATCAATAGCTGTCTCCTTTCATAGTTTTTCTTAATAATCGTAAGGTAGGCCATTAATTGTAGCATGTCTGCTGCTCTATTCTAATTTGTTAGCAATAATCATAATTTTTTTATAGTTGCTTATTAGAAGGGGAAGAGCGATAGTAAATATTTGCTTATATTAATGATGGATAGCGGCTAGCTATCGTGGCTCGGTGGTCTAGTGGATAACACTAAAGCGTTGGAAGCGATCGGTCCCGAGTTCGAATCCCAGTCGGGATATAACCACTCACTGGGAGGCAAGTACATCCAGCTGACAAGTCCCAAATAGGACGAAATGCGCATGCTGGATTCCACTGCTAGCCGCTATCCATCATGACTATATAATTAAAAACACAAGTAATATCGAGGCATCCACGCAGGAGCTCGTATGCTTATGGAGACCGATCAATTCGGTCCAATCAACGACGGTATAATACAAGCAGTAACACTATTTGTCTATAATATCATAATCTTCATTCTTATCGGAAAGCAAATCACTTCTAGTATATCATAACACTATACAACCTTTTTCATTTCTACCGCTTTTTCACTTTGTTGTTCTAGATTGTTTATACACTAACCAGCGCTAATGTTTTCACTTGTACCCACAATACATATCGTAAACTATGTTTTTTTGACTTTTCTTCGGTTTTCTTTGTTTCTATTATCTTCTGTTCGCATTTTTTACGTAAATACATGCACTAGCACTATTTTTCGTGTACATTATCCAACTGAGTGTCTATCAGTATATGTAAGTACTGGTAAAAATGATGTGATTCATACGCAATGTTTTAAGAAACATAGCATACGTAAAAACGAAAACGCATGTTTTTTGGAAGATGTTGTATTTTCATTTTGACTATCCGAGATAGCCGTGATTTGGCAGACTAGTTTTATACTGGATGATGATTGAAGGTGAAGTGAAAATTCGAATTGCAGCCGGATTCGAACGAATGACTACCAGGTTTCCGGCCCGATGCTCTACCAATTCAGCTACAAGGTTCGACTACTGACCATGTTTTTACCCATCCTTGAGTTATCGTATTTTGTTGCTGATCTAAACTATGTAAGACAATATTGACACATGTGATGTTATCAGGTGATAGCGTTTATATATATGCATGTATACACATGCACACGTACCTACCTACTATCAATATCAACAAGGTGTCAGTAATTGAATATGAAATACAAAGAATCTACTATAGAATGTACAAGTTGTATTGTTTCTACTTGAATTCCATGCATACTTGGTTCACTGAAGACGTAATCATGTTCTTCCATTGATTTGTTTTCTCCTGTTGCTGTTGCGAAGATGTTTGTCAACATGATGAATTGTCTGTTGTACATTAGGTAACTGTTTTCATTTCTGCAAGCTTGTTGATGAGATAGATTTATTACAGAAAGCAGTTTACGAGAAGTATTGTGTAAAAAAACAGCGTCAAAACCTATAAAAATAAACGTGTTTTGAAAGGAAAGTAAACCGCTGAATTCTATATTTTTGACGATTATTGTCACTGAGTTACTGCATTCAAGCTGTTAGCCGAACAACCAGATATAACACTTATCAGTCTGATGAGTTTAACGGCAATAACGGTTAGTGACTAGTAGTGGAATCCAGGACGCACTTTCCGTCCTATACAGGACTCGTCAGCCAGGTGTACCTGCCTCCCAGTAAGCTATGTTGTTCCCACTAAGACTGAGACTCAGAACCAACAGCATTTTAAAAACTATACCTGTTGCACAAGAACTGACTATCTATGATTCAGTGACCTAGTGGATAAAACTGTGGCGTTTCAAGCGATTAATCAGGTGCATCCAGCTGACGAGTCTCAAATAGGACGAAACGCGTGTCCTGCTAGTCACTTATCTATCACTATTATAAAGCTGAAATGATAGGCAATATCAAGGTATCCACATAGAGACCAACTAATTTGATCCAATCAGCGATTGGGAAATAGATATAACATCGCAATTTGTGTGATAATTGTTTTTTTTTTCTTACCTCTAATTTGTTTCTCTTATCAGGTGGCTCATGTTAGAGCTGAACGTGATATTCTAGTCAAAGCAGATAATCCATGGGTTGTGAAAATGTTCTATTCATTTCAAGATTCAGTTAATCTCTATCTAGTTATGGAATTCCTACCAGGTGGTAAGTAAAGCTATCAGTATCAATCTCTAGTGTATTGTGATGTCTATTTTATTGTTATCAATTTCATTGTTGACTATTCTTCTCTTACTTTTGTTTAGCACATTAGAAGGTCTTGACTACTATATGCCCTCAGTATTTTTTCCTTTGTAGTAAAATATTGAGTGTTTGCTTTATTAAACAGAATATTTACTTGAGTTAATCTCCAATCTCAATAACTACTTACAAAGTTCAGTTAAAGATACCAGTGAAATATACTTGATTAGATCAATTGCATAATTATCTATCCAATAAAACATCAATATCATTAACTCAACTCTTATGCGTATGTATTAACTGGGACCATAGGGGTTATTGTAGCTAGGGGACCGTTGACGAACATATTTATTTATTATTATATTTAATATCATAGAGAATTCAGTGGTTATCCTTATAAGTTGATATTTATCATGGATTGACATCAGTTGGAAAACCCTTACAAACCTAGGAGAATGTTTCGTTCTAGTATGTGACTCCTCAGCAGTGCTCAGCCATGACCCTGCCAGGGATCGATGTTACAACCTCCAAGTTTCATGCCCACCATGTTGCTATTGAGCTGTAGTCGACATTTACTACTTCTGACCATTGGATGACAACCTAGTGACTCAATAGGAACGTGCTGCCCACGGAAACTGCAGACCCTGGGTTCGATCCCTGAAGGAATGCACACTACTGGGGAGTCGCACACTTAGAATAAAACAGATATCCAGTTCTACCAAGTTTCCAATGTTTCTCCAACTGATATCAGTCCACTATGAATACCAACCTGAAACCAATAAATAAATCCCTACAAACCTTCAAATTGAGTTATCTGTATGCATTGGTCTAGTCAACAAAAGAATATCAAATACAATGAAATGTTGAATATTATTATATCGTAACATTATTGACGCCAATATAATTTCACCATGGTAACAGTAATTTTATGCTGTCTAAATTCATTTGAATGATAGTAAGAATAATTCCATCGAAGGAAAGAGATTATAAAATAGTACTACTGAAAATTCATATAGATTTTAACAGAACACACACATTCTCGATATTTTATTTTATTTCTAACTTAACAACATTTTTTTTTCTACGATAGTTAAGGGCGTTAAGGTGTATGTAGGGTGGGAGTAGAGGAGTTGGATAGGAGAAAAAAAGTGACAGGAAACTATTTACACATTTTTAAAATTTCGCAAAATAATAATTGTTGTTTGATGAAAAGTTAAATAGTTTAGTTATGCAAGGAGTTAGAAGTGTAAAAAAATGCTTGCCAATTGTTTTTTTTTTGCAATTATTTAAACATTTAAAAGGAAGGAGGGATATTTTAAGATTATGAAATAGGTCAACTCTTTCTATATTGTAAGCTTTTAAACTTCATTTGAAGCTATTTTATCGCTGATTACATTGCTGAGTCATAAATGACATGATCAAAAACTATTAAGTGCCATAGAGAATAGAACATGTGAAAACTTATCATGTACTAACAGATGCCTATCCTTAGTGACGCACTGATCAACACCTAAGGTTTTCGTCTTAATTTCTTTTCACAGAAACGATAGTTGGTTTTCGAAAATCAGACTTTAAGGTTACTTTAGTTTACTGGAGCTTGTAATCCATACACGAACACTGCTTTTTTAAATTGTCTATTGACCATAACTTTATTCATCCTCGTCTTTTAGTCCCCTTATTTTTGTTCATGATAACCTGTCTCTTCATGATTAGGAAAATTTGTGATTGTGTTGTGTTCTGTGGGCTGGATTGTTTAATCGTGAAGCTTTCATTGTCATTCCAGACACAACATAAAAAAGTGATCTATATATTTAGCAGTGTATCCTGATAGCCCTTGCATGTAATTGGTTGTTTCTGCCAAGGTCTTATCATTGCCTCCATGTTTATTTTGATTGGCTGCCCTGATAATCTTAAATCTGATCTTCTTATTGGTTGATAGATTGGATGAATGTTAATATCTGTTGATCGTTGACTGACGGGAATGCCAAGCTTCTAAAAATTCCCTGACATTCTTCATATTTCCTCTATTCAGGATTTCTACATTTCTTCAGTTAAATTCATATCCACAGTTGTCCGTATGCATTGCCATGAGCTAAGATATGTGATACCGCTTCACTGTTAGTTGTTCATGTAGACGGATACGGAGAGGGTGACCAGCTTGTCCGATATAGTGTTTTTTTTGCAGTATTTGCAGTTTATTTTGTAGATACATTATCGAAAAATTCATTTTCTGGGAGATATTAATAATCTATATCTCGAATGAAGTAGTGAGTTTAGATTTGTATGCGATATTTTTGGCAGGGAAATCCAGTTGTCCAAATAAATTCATTTTAAACAAACACTGATTTGCTGAGAAATCCTAAAAATCCACCACTTCCGAGAGTTGACAGTCCCATAAGTTGTATGATTAGGTAGGATTAGATGTCATGTATTTTCTAGCTTTGATAGTCTCGGTGAGTTGAATCACCTAGGAAATTATTAGGTTAGCAGAATAAAGTTATGTTAGTGATATTACGGGGTACATGAGTTTTACTTACGGGTCGGTTGCTGATTCGATCTCAATAAATACGAAATCTAATTTTAGCATACTCTGTCGTCAAACAGAATCTTTTGAATATCCATCCCAAATCAACATAGAACCAGACATTACTTAGTAACGGTCCGAGTTGCCACACCTCATATCACCATATCAAGTAACAAGACAAGACAATTAAATGGAAGATGAAGAAAACAAAATTCTGTCAAAAGAAATATAGAAGTACGAAGTGAGGGAAGGGAAGAATGAGAAAATTGTGAGGCTCGGTATTACGTCGCTAACATGAGGATAGTGTTTACATGCATCTGCACCACATCACCTACAGTCACTCTACAACCACTGCTTCCTCTTGTCACACATCCCCCAACCCCAACCGACTACTAGTCACCATCACCCCACATATCTCAAACCAACAGTCAAACACTACATACATTGATGTCATGCTTCAGTCTTCTCCACCTCCAGCCTTTCTCCAGACTCAACCATATACTTCAACCAACAATCTATGAAGACACAGATGGAGACTACGCATACTAACACATGTCACAACCAGCAATCTCACTTCATCAACGTTCACAATTACATCAACTATCTCACCTATTCTCCATACAACTCTACGCCTCACTTCTCTGTGTCTTACTCATATGGTGACAACACGGAATACGGACTATATTACCAAGGCAACCGTGCTCAAACAACTCAAGTCTCCTCACATCTCCCACCTTTAATCGTCATGTTTAACAACCATACAGTAGAATATATAACAGACTGTGTTGCTGCTTCATTTTGATGGGTTACATTCGATTCAGTTATAGGTATGTCGCGATAGGCATGAAAATGTAGATTTTTGGTATAATTCATTTCATTTTTATCGATGGATTTGTTTCAAATCTCTAACTTAGAAGGTAAATACAATTCTTTTTCGTCATATAACTATCTTTTCCACTTCTTCCTTACATGATGTTCAAATTCAGCTGTATGAACTCTTTGAATGTTCACTGGTAGATCAGTTACTGAAGGCCACTACTTCGAATCCTACCATAGCCTAGGTTTCCAATTAACCTTAAGATTTGATTATACATATGCGTGGATCATTTTTCAGGGACATGTGAGTTGTATTTGAATCAAAACATATTTAGGTCACTGTCGTATGCTTGAATAAGCAGTCTATGAGAATATACACAACATGCTTCTTCTACAGCGTGTTTAAGACAGATAAAATCAACGTAAAATATCGCACACAATTACATCGGTTCGTTACCATATTTTACCGCAGTATTTAAAGAATAAGTGGATAAAATAAGACGGATATCGAAGTAAGCACAGGCGTATGGGACGCGTGAGAATTTAAAAAGTAAGGTTATTCAATGCATTGAAGCTTTAGAAGACATGAAAGAGTAAATACATCTCGGTCATTGTGACCACCGACCTTCAGTCATTTCACCAAAGGACCTTAACCACTGATTCCAGTCATCTCAGGGACCCAGCTAAGTAGTCTACACCTCCATATACGGCCCAGATCAACAGTCATATGCTGGTTCCACTTCTCGGTGCTTTTGCTGTGTGTCTTCTTCCAACTGAATCCAACATTCCCTAGCATGCCACGTCGAGGTGAGCAGTGATTCGGCATGCGCAGCACATATGCCAGCAACCTTAGCCGATGAAGGTTCACAACTTCGTGTCTACCTTGCCTTAACATTGTTCACATGGTGATTCCACGAAACGCAAACAATGATAAGAAGATACTTGTGATCAAAACCCTGTAACTGCTTCGTGTCTTCTACTTTCAGCTGCCCTGTCTCATAGTGGTACAATAGGAGAGAACAGACTGTAGAGTGGTATATTTATCATTCCAAAGGTAGTCGGCTATCTCACCGGCACCACAGATGACTCAAGTTGCCAGATGCTAGATGAGCCTTCTGTATCTGAGCTGAGATTTTGTCAGCTACCAGCCTGTTCTGGCTGATGCAACTCGCTTAATAAGTGAAGTGCTTAACACATTCCACTATTTCACTGCCTATCATTAAACTGGCATTAGTTGCAAACCAGTCATATAGCATTATCTGACATTTGATAGATGACAGCGAAACGCATTCTAAACGTACTCAGACTTCTGCTCAACGTGTCCAGAAAACCCTGTGTTTTGTGTGCTTCTTCACCCAGACTAACAGTTCATTGTCATTTGAATACTTCAAGTCAACCGAATGCTTTGCTTGGAGTAGATCGATCTATGTCAAGCCAGGGGTATCTAAGGTTGTGTCCATTGATGGATCTATAATGAATTTGAATGCGGACGATGATAGCGGGCATCACTGCCGGACACCACTAGTTGTCGTCAATTCTGATGACAACTCTCCATAAACCGTTGCACGGTTGCTTGAGTTCAAGTAGACAGCTTTCAGTGAATGACTTCTGATAGAGCTGTGTGGCT